GTGTGTGTTGTAGTTCGGGATCGTGGATGCAGACGGAGCGCTCAGTCTCTGGCAGACCAGCACCTCAGGAAACGCTCCCAAACCCTATCTGGTACATCCATCGCTCTCCTTGTTACTTCAGTTGGAAACATTATGATTTTTAAATGTTTTTAATTAAGTTTCTTCTGCTCATTAGAGCGTATTTTTTATTTTTATTTTTATTTTTAATTTATTTTTATAACAAATACAGTAAAAATTATGAAATATTATTAAAATTTAAAACAGCTGTTTTCTATGTGAATCTCTGTTAAACTGTAATGTATTTCTGTGATGCGCAGCTGTATTTTCAGCATCATTACTGCAGTCTTCAGTGTCACATGATCTTCAGAAATCATTCTAATATGCTGATTTGCTGCTCAAGAAACATTTCTGATTATTATCAATGTTGAAAACAGTTGTGTTGCTCAATATTTTTTATGGGAAATGTGGTACAATAATAATTGAGCAGCAAATCAGCATATTAGAATGATTTCTGAAGATCATGTGACACTGAATACTGGAGTAATGATGCTGAAAATACAGCTGCGCATCACAGAAATACATTACAGTTTAACAGATATTCACATAGAAAACAGCGGTTTTAAACTGTAATAATATTTCATAATTTAACTGTATTTTTGTTCAAATAATTGCAGTTACTCACACTGTTCAGTGCAATTTCTTATAGTTTCACTCCTATGTATTCATATTCATAACACTGTAAATATGTTCACAATCTTGTCACGTTTATTGTGTCTCAGACGGTCTCTGTGCACTTTTATATTTTATTGTTTAAGTTCATTATTGTGTGGTGGTGTATGTGTATCTGTGCACTGGAAGCTTCACTATTGGGAATGAAGCTTGAATTGTGATTTTGTTGGTTTGGATGCACCGATAACATCTTTGCCATTCTTAATGTGTCTGTGTCGAATAAACCTACATTTCTTAGTGTAAAACCGCTGTGTTCTCCTCATCATGTGATCGTCTCCTTCTTTTCCTGCAGACGCTTCAGTGTCACAATAAGACGGCGAATGACTTTGTGTTTGTGGGCTCGTCGTCTCTCATCGCCACCGCAGGCCTGTCCACAGACAACAGGTACAGCCGGACACAAACACAGAAAAATCTGAAAAATGTAAGCTTCAATTCATAAAGACACTGTCTCGTCACAGGAACGTGTGTCTGTGGGATACTCTGGTCACGCCAGCATACAGTCTGGTTCACGGTAAGTCATCTCACACACACACACACACACACACACACACAGTCTGGTCAGCTATCCTTGTGGGGACTCTCCATAGGCGTAATGGTTTTTCTACTGTACAGACCGTATATTCTATCTCCCTACACCAACCCTACCCCTAAACCTACCCCTCACAGGAAACTTTCTGCATTTTTAGATTTTCAAAAAACTTCATTCTGTATGATTTACAAGCTTTTGTACCCGTGGGGACAACAATTTAGGTCCTCACCGTGACACGAGTCCCCATGAGTCTGTGTGTAGTCAGGTTTAAGTCCCCACCAGGATATATAAACCTGCACACTCTCTCTCTCACACACACACACTCACACTCTCTCTCTCACAGACACACCCACACACTCTCACACTCTTCACACACACACACACTCACACACACACACCCACACACTCTCACACTCTTCTCACACACACACACCCACACACTCTCACACTCTTCTCACACACACACACCCACACACTCTCACACTCTTCTCACACACACACACCCACACACTCTCACACTCTTCTCACACACACACACCCACACACTCTCACACTCTTCTCACACACACACACCCACACACTCTCACACTCTTCTCACACACACACACCCACACACTCTCACACTCTTCTCACACACACACACCCACACACTCTCACACTCTTCTCACACACACACACCCACACACTCTCACACTCTTCTCACACACACACACCCACACACTCTCACACTCTTCTCACACACACACACCCACACACTCTCACACTCTTCTCACACACACACACCCACACACTCTCACACTCTTCTCACACACACACACCCACACACTCTCACACTCTTCTCACACACACACACCCACACACTCTCACACTCTTCTCACACACACACACCCACACACTCTCACACTCTTCTCACACACACACACCCACACACTCTCACACTCTTCTCACACACACACACCCACACACTCTCACACTCTTCTCACACACACACACCCACACACTCTCACACTCTTCTCACACACACACACCCACACACTCTCACACTCTTCTCACACACACACACCCACACACTCTCACACTCTTCTCACACACACACACCCACACACTCTCACACTCTTCTCACACACACACACCCACACACTCTCACACTCTTCTCACACACACACACCCACACACTCTCACACTCTTCTCACACACACACACCCACACACTCTCACACTCTTCTCACACACACACACCCACACACTCTCACACTCTTCTCACACACACACACCCACACACTCTCACACTCTTCTCACACACACACACCCACACACTCTCACACTCTTCTCACACACACACACCCACACACTCTCACACTCTTCTCACACACACACACCCACACACTCTCACACTCTTCTCACACACACACACCCACACACTCTCACACTCTTCTCACACACACACACCCACACACTCTCACACTCTTCTCACACACACACACCCACACACTCTCACACTCTTCTCACACACACACACCCACACACTCTCACACTCTTCTCACACACACACACCCACACACTCTCACACTCTTCTCACACACACACACCCACACACTCTCACACTCTTCTCACACACACACACCCACACACTCTCACACTCTTCTCACACACACACACCCACACACTCTCACACTCTTCTCACACACACACACCCACACACTCTCACACTCTTCTCACACACACACACCCACACACTCTCACACTCTTCTCACACACACACACCCACACACTCTCACACTCTTCTCACACACACACACCCACACACTCTCACACTCTTCTCACACACACACACCCACACACTCTCACACTCTTCTCACACACACACACCCACACACTCTCACACTCTTCTCACACACACACACCCACACACTCTCACACTCTTCTCACACACACACACCCACACACTCTCACACTCTTCTCACACACACACACCCACACACTCTCACACTCTTCTCACACACACACACCCACACACTCTCACACTCTTCTCACACACACACACCCACACACTCTCACACTCTTCTCACACACACACACCCACACACTCTCACACTCTTCTCACACACACACACCCACACACTCTCACACTCTTCTCACACACACACACCCACACACTCTCACACTCTTCTCACACACACACACCCACACACTCTCACACTCTTCTCACACACACACACCCACACACTCTCACACTCTTCTCACACACACACACCCACACACTCTCACACTCTTCTCACACACACACACCCACACACTCTCACACTCTTCTCACACACACACACCCACACACTCTCACACTCTTCTCACACACACACACCCACACACTCTCACACTCTTCTCACACACACACACCCACACACTCTCACACTCTTCTCACACACACACACCCACACACTCTCACACTCTTCTCACACACACACACCCACACACTCTCACACTCTTCTCACACACACACACCCACACACTCTCACACTCTTCTCACACACACACACCCACACACTCTCACACTCTTCTCACACACACACACCCACACACTCTCACACTCTTCTCACACACACACACCCACACACTCTCACACTCTTCTCACACACACACACCCACACACTCTCACACTCTTCTCACACACACACACCCACACACTCTCACACTCTTCTCACACACACACACCCACACACTCTCACACTCTTCTCACACACACACACCCACACACTCTCACACTCTTCTCACACACACACACCCACACACTCTCACACTCTTCTCACACACACACACCCACACACTCTCACACTCTTCTCACACACACACACCCACACACTCTCACACTCTTCTCACACACACACACCCACACACTCTCACACTCTTCTCACACACACACACCCACACACTCTCACACTCTTCTCACACACACACACCCACACACTCTCACACTCTTCTCACACACACACACCCACACACTCTCACACTCTTCTCACACACACACACCCACACACTCTCACACTCTTCTCACACACACACACCCACACACTCTCACACTCTTCTCACACACACACACCCACACACTCTCACACTCTTCTCACACACACACACCCACACACTCTCACACTCTTCTCACACACACACACCCACACACTCTCACACTCTTCTCACACACACACACCCACACACTCTCACACTCTTCTCACACACACACACCCACACACTCTCACACTCTTCTCACACACACACACCCACACACTCTCACACTCTTCTCACACACACACACCCACACACTCTCACACTCTTCTCACACACACACACCCACACACTCTCACACTCTTCTCACACACACACACCCACACACTCTCACACTCTTCTCACACACACACACCCACACACTCTCACACTCTTCTCACACACACACACCCACACACTCTCACACTCTTCTCACACACACACACCCACACACTCTCACACTCTTCTCACACACACACACCCACACACTCTCACACTCTTCTCACACACACACACCCACACACTCTCACACTCTTCTCACACACACACACCCACACACTCTCACACTCTTCTCACACACACACACCCACACACTCTCACACTCTTCTCACACACACACACCCACACACTCTCACACTCTTCTCACACACACACACCCACACACTCTCACACTCTTCTCACACACACACACCCACACACTCTCACACTCTTCTCACACACACACACCCACACACTCTCACACTCTTCTCACACACACACACCCACACACTCTCACACTCTTCTCACACACACACACCCACACACTCTCACACTCTTCTCACACACACACACCCACACACTCTCACACTCTTCTCACACACACACACCCACACACTCTCACACTCTTCTCACACACACACACCCACACACTCTCACACTCTTCTCACACACACACACCCACACACTCTCACACTCTTCTCACACACACACACCCACACACTCTCACACTCTTCTCACACACACACACCCACACACTCTCACACTCTTCTCACACACACACACCCACACACTCTCACACTCTTCTCACACACACACACCCACACACTCTCACACTCTTCTCACACACACACACCCACACACTCTCACACTCTTCTCACACACACACACCCACACACTCTCACACTCTTCTCACACACACACACCCACACACTCTCACACTCTTCTCACACACACACACCCACACACTCTCACACTCTTCTCACACACACACACCCACACACTCTCACACTCTTCTCACACACACACACCCACACACTCTCACACTCTTCTCACACACACACACCCACACACTCTCACACTCTTCTCACACACACACACCCACACACTCTCACACTCTTCTCACACACACACACCCACACACTCTCACACTCTTCTCACACACACACACCCACACACTCTCACACTCTTCTCACACACACACACCCACACACTCTCACACTCTTCTCACACACACACACCCACACACTCTCACACTCTTCTCACACACACACACCCACACACTCTCACACTCTTCTCACACACACACACCCACACACTCTCACACTCTTCTCACACACACACACCCACACACTCTCACACTCTTCTCACACACACACACCCACACACTCTCACACTCTTCTCACACACACACACCCACACACTCTCACACTCTTCTCACACACACACACCCACACACTCTCACACTCTTCTCACACACACACACCCACACACTCTCACACTCTTCTCACACACACACACCCACACACTCTCACACTCTTCTCACACACACACACCCACACACTCTCACACTCTTCTCACACACACACACCCACACACTCTCACACTCTTCTCACACACACACACCCACACACTCTCACACTCTTCTCACACACACACACCCACACACTCTCACACTCTTCTCACACACACACACCCACACACTCTCACACTCTTCTCACACACACACACCCACACACTCTCACACTCTTCTCACACACACACACCCACACACTCTCACACTCTTCTCACACACACACACCCACACACTCTCACACTCTTCTCACACACACACACCCACACACTCTCACACTCTTCTCACACACACACACCCACACACTCTCACACTCTTCTCACACACACACACCCACACACTCTCACACTCTTCTCACACACACACACCCACACACTCTCACACTCTTCTCACACACACACACCCCTGTAGAAGCGTGTCTAAACGAGTCGTGTACTGCAGGCTTCAGCTGTCACGAGTCCGGCTCCACGGTTCTAGCTCTGGCATCTAAACAGCAGCTGCTGCTCAGCGGAGGCCGGAAGGGCTGCATCAGTGTTCTGGACCTCAGTCTGAAGATCCAGCGCCAGAGTTTCCAGGCGCACGACTCGGCCGTCAAAGCACTGGCCGTCGACGCCAGCGAGAGCTGCTTCATGAGCGGATCGGCCGAGGGCAACATCAAGGTATGAGCCTCACCCTTTATATACTCTCATAGCTCAGATCTTCTATTAGCTTTTAGTTTGACATTTTCAGTTTTCATTTTAGTTTTTTTTTTTTACTTTTATTATTATTTAATTTTTTTTAGCCTTTGTTTATATCAGTTTTAGTAATTTTAGTACCTTTTTGTAAAAATTTACTACGTAGTAATTGTAGCTGTATTTCAGTTCGTTTCCAAGGCAACATTTCTAATTTAAAATTTTTAGTTTTAAAACTTTCATATAATATTTATCTATGTCATTTTATTTCAGCTTTATTTCAATTACAGGAAACAGTTTTTAGTCGTTTCAGTCTTAGTTAAAAACACTTGGGTGCTTTGAGAGTTGCTGGTGAACAGGTTTGATTGATCTGAAATGAAAGAGAGTGTATGTAAATGAAGCCTGTTTTTAAGGACCATTAAGATTTGTTGTGCATTTTTCATAAAAATTCAACACATTTTCCTCTTTAAAAATTCCTATTACTATAATGCAAAAAAGTCATTATTTTTATGATAATACTAAAAAAGGTTAATGTGTATGTAGGGCTGGACGATATGGCCAAAATTGATATCACGATATATTTCTTAATTTCGGTCGATATGATATAATTCCGATATCGACATGAACACTATTTATCTGAAATGGAAATCTTTTGTAACATTATAAATGTCTTTATCATCACTTTTGATCAATTTTAAGCATCCTTGCTAAATAAAAGTATTAATTTCTTTCCCAAAAAAATAATAAAAATTATACTGAATGGAATAGTGTATAATGTTACAAAAGCTTTTTATTTCAGATAAATGCTGATCTTTGGATCTTTCTATTCATCAAAGAACCCTGAAAAAAAATTTACTCAACTGTTTTAAATATTGATAATCAGCAAATCAGCATATTAGAATGATTTCTGAAGATCATGTGACTCTGAAGACTGGAGTAATGATGCTGAAAATACAGCTATGTATGATCACAGGAATAAATTACATTTTAAAATCTATTCAAATAGAAAGCAATTTTAAATAGTAAAAATATTTCAACATTTTACTGTTTTTGCTGTACTTTGGATCAAATAAATGCAGGCTTCTTCCGTAACCTGGGCACAGGCGTCATGCAGATCGAGACCGGCCCGGCCAATCACGTCTTCTCCTGCGGCGCAGACGGCACAATGAAGCTCCGCCTCCTCCCCGACGCTCTGAGCCTCTACTGCAGCGGCGTGAAGAACGACGTCAGGTTTATCATGTAGCACACTTATGACTCTTGCACACGGTACGACAAGCAATACGAAAGAGACGCAGGGAATCCTGCGCTCAAGCACAATGTACGAGTTGCTCAGCATACTCAAGTTAACCTGGAATATATATCTCTATATATATCAGTAAAGCCTTAACTAGCCAAACGGTGTTGTGATCGTGCTCTAGACTCAATATAGTGATGTGTCCTTATATTTCTACCCTCGCGCTGGACGTCCCCTGGTTTCTGTTTCGTATGTCAAATGATGTGCGGTCATTCTAATAACCATTTTTTGTAAGGTATTGTATATTACTACAGTAAGCAGTATTTACTGAGATGATGAGCTTTAAAGCGATAGTTCACCCAAAAATAAAAATAGCCATAATTTCCTCTCCCTCCAAACTTGCACGAGAGTCTTTCGTCTGCTGAACACTAAAGAAGTTGCTCTGAAGACCAAACAGTTGCCGGTACCCATTCACATCCATACTATAGAAGCCAATGGGTGCCGTCAGCCGTTTGGTCTCCAGAGCATCTTCTGTAGTGTTCAGCAGACGAAAGACGCTCGTGCAAGCTGAGGAAGAGCAAACGATGGCAGGATTTCATTTTTGGCTGCTCCATTCCTTTCGCACAGGCACTGATAGTGTTAATGTTACCTGAGGTTGAAGATGAAGCACTTTGCATGTAGAGATTATCCGCGTGGAGCCGAAGCATCATAACATTTGTGAATCAAGCTGAGAGCGGACGATCGGGAGACACTTTTATTTTCAGTGTAAATATGAGTTGAACACGAGACTTGATGAAATGATTCTGTGTTAAAGATAAAGCATATTTATAATCATCGAGGCTCCTGCAGACGTTTGGTTGTAGAAACGTTGTTCAGGGTTTATTTTTTACGCTTCTTTTATCTGCCGTCGATTGACTCGGACACAGATGCGGCACACATTTGTTCTTTCCATGTTCTTCTTCACTGCAGAAAATGATGCTCTTCCTCAGGATTTCTCAGTAAACATCCTTAAATCAAGACTGAATGAATGAAATGCTTAAAACAAGAACGAAAATCATGTTTCCCCTTTGAATGAAGTTGAATGATTTTTTCTTCACCCAGATCATTGCTGATATAATGATGTAAGGATTCTGCCCTTTAACCTCTCAAATGTAATAATATACACACAAATGAATCTAATTTTATAATGAGTATGAAGAGAGCTGTAATGTACATACATGACTGTAACGAGAAAATAAATGACTCAATGCAAGATCTTTATTTCTTTGCTGGGTTTTTGTTAATGATGATGTGGTCTTTTGTTGTAAGCATCAGTGCATTGAGCATTATTGGAAACGAATGATTAATGCAGCTAGATGTGTAACTCCTTCACGATCAAGGGTCTTCAGAGTTTGGCGTAGTCCTTCAGCACGGCCTCCAGCTTCTGGCTCAACGTGATGTTCCCTTTGACTTTCAGCTTGCCGGAGAAAAACGCCTGCGGGACAAACACCGAGCAGGAGGAGTGTGAATAACAGGGCTGAAGCCCGATGCAGCACCTTCTGAGGGTTGAGTTTGCCCGTCAGCAGCTGCATGAAGTCCTCGTCTGCGACGGTGAAGATCACGTCTGCTTTAGCGCCGCCGGCTCCTCTGTGCACAGATCCTCGGCCCGTCTTCAGATCCACGGCTGAGAGACAGTAGTCACAAACACATCCTCTCTGTCTGATGCAAACGTCTGAAGATGCTTAAATCAACACACTTACTTGAGAAGCAAAATGCAGGGATTAAAGTGTTCCGTCAGTCCATAAAGACAGTCACTTAGTTCATTCCTGAATGATTCAGCCGTTCGAGCGAATCAATTGAATGAATGATTCGGTGATAAAATCAGTGATTTGTCGCCACCTGCTGGCGGATTTAGTCTCATTTTTAAAGTATCTTTTCAGTTCTTTATATCATTTAATATTTCTATATTCAACATGTTTTAAAACATTAATCTTTTAATCATTAATGATTAAATTCATTAATAAACATGAATTTATGGATTTAATTGCACTCATGCCACCTCTGATCCTCATTAAATGTCTGAAAATACACCTACAAGACACTTTTGTGCTCGTCTGTGCTACCGCTGTACAAATTAATTTTAATACTGATTTCATTTGATTAGTAACTTATTCTTCTTATTCTACTTGTTCTTATTCTATGGTTTTATCTAGAA